ACAGACGGAAATTTCAAAAAGTTGTATCATTGTGAGATATTGTCGCCGAGATACTCGTTAACGGATTACGAAAATTCCATATTATTTATACCTAGAGCTAACTGGCGGCCCTTGCCCCTACTTTCCTGATCGTCTATCCCCTCCACTGTATCGATCCCTTCACTACATTGAAAATTCCTCGTCGCGCGTGAGCCCCACTCTCTTACAATTAGTCCGTTGATTTCTATACCAAGCAAGTGGAGTGATCGATTCAGTAGAATAGGTAATGTTAACGATCAGAAAAACCACCAGTTAGTCTTATACTACTTCTATCTATAATTATTTATTTCTATTTTTTTTTCTTCTATTATTTATGTCTGTCTATATGATTTGGAAAGTGAAATGTAATTATGAGATTCGTGTGACGCGGTGTGTGCAGCACTTTGTACGATTTCTTGCCCAATGTTCACGACACTCACCCTCGGGGGTTGAAATTTACCACCCTCGCGCAGTGTTTTTCACGTTCTCTCTTTCTCTCTTTCTCTCTCTCCACACACACATACACGGTATACGTGTTTCACTTTTGGAGCAAGGGACAAAGAGAGAAAAGAGCTGGCGAATAAATTTTTCATAGGAGTTTGTTTTATATCGAGTTTACGTGAAGTTTCGGGGCGAAACGCGATCAAACCGTCAGGTTGCGGTGAAATTTAAACGAAATGTATCGAGAATCTGGTTAGATTTCCTCGATGAATACAGAAGGGAGCAGGATTGCCAGATATTTCTCCCAAAAGGCTATACCTGCTGAACGAAACGGAATCACTAAAATCTCATCCATTTTGTATTGATTCTTTTTATTCCGTGCTTCGCGTAAAACGGAAAGCGAAATATCATTGCAGCTTATCCCGTCACCGCGTAAACACAACAAAGTATGAAATTCAGTTTCATCTCAGCTTGCGTACTATGTCGTATTTTAGACGGTTTTCGAATCCATTTTGTTCGTTTAAAATATTCATTACTTTATTTCAGTAATTAATTTGGCATCTTATTTCCATATACATTATTATATTATTATATATTATATAATTCACATTAATACCAATATGTAACATATTATGATCGATATAACACTTTTGTGTATAATATATTAATTATAATTTATATAATGTACATTAATATTAACGTTGTGTAATATTATCCATTTTAATAAGTTTGATTTCAATCTTATGGGGGAATTTTCGGTGGAGGGAAAAATTTCATTTGCGCCTCTTTTACATAATCTTAAATGTTACTTGAAGTTTAATTCGTTCTCGTAATTCGAGACGATTTTGATGTATACCGATAATTAAATCGCAGACAAGTTACACCGAAATGTGCGAAATTTTTGTCTACAAATAATTAAAGAGTGTTATAAATTTCCATTTAGCTTCCAGTATTTTAGTCTCGTTTGCGAAAATATAAATTTGCACGAACGTTCTATACGTTGTTAATATCAGTAATCGTTCGCTATGACTATAACTACGAATTAAATGAATACTACTCATTGCTTTGTGTATTTCAATTTTCAATAGATCGATCGTCGTAGAAGGCAACCGTAGTTTATGGCTGTCGTACATGTGTGCGAAGCGGTACAGCGACAGCGAGATGTATAGCAAAATTTATAGATCATTGACATATAGTGAGAATCCGCAGATCGTGGACATGAACGGTTCTGATTTTAACTTGAGACATCACAGAAGTATCACCACGATTTTCCCAAGCAATTTCGATGTATATCACACGTCGTTTCGAGAATAATGAATTTGTATGGACCGTGGTTGACGTAAAATTCCGAAAGTTTGGACAATCCTATTTTGAAGCGAAGAAGAAAAGAAATTTGAAACGCCTTCAAACACCTTTGGGTTAGTTTGTTTCTCATGAATATTCTTTAATTTCATTTTTGGAAATACAACAATTACAGTTTACTATCGAATTGATTTTAATTAACGAAGAAGAAAATGATACAAATTGAGAGATATTAATAACTCTTGGAAAAATTGAAAACTTATAAAGTTTATGTAAAAATTTGTATAAAGTTCGTGCGAATGCGATATTTTACGAGAGAAAGTATTCAATTCGGAAGCATTTTTTTCTTAATTTTACATTTACGTTACAAGAAATGTAACGCATTATAAAAATTATCTTTGAAACTAGTGGTATTTAATTTTATTTGAAACTAATTGGCGAAACAAATTGTAAAATATTCCCTGATCAAATTTTTGAAATTACAATAGACATGTTGAAATATTTGACACAATTGTGCAAATTATTAGCTATAAATGAATATAAATGACCATATATTCATAGTTCCATTTTTACATTGTTATTATAATTTCGTCTACCTTTTACGTTACAGTGATTTTCACGATGCGCCCCAGAGGTTTTTATTCTCCTCAAATTTAACAAAAAAATTAACGTCCCATCTCTCCAACTTTTCATCGTCCCTGCTTTATGTCGTAAATGTATTATTTATAAATTACGTTGCCACATAACTGTTCGTTGAATTTTATTTGCGCAAGTTTCATTCTACCGAGTAACAACCGAGTGGCCGAGAAAGGAACTGCTCGTAAAGGGTGGCAGTAAAAGGGGGCGAAAAGTGAAACGATTTTGCAGAGAAACACTTCGACTTATTTTTGGGCGCGCGGCGTAAAATCCTAATGAAAAGGGACGTTCGTCTTTGACGTACACTGTGGTTCAAAAGTTTCTAGGGGGACCAGTCAACTTTATTTTCGAAGAGTAAATCGAGACACAACCTTGAGCACAGATAATTAATTAATTAAACAATTGTCCCTCGAGAGATACATCTACGTCATTTTCAGAACGAATGCTATAATGAATATAAAAAATGTTCCAGATCGATATATTCTCGATACGTGAAAGGAAATGTAGTTTCCATTCAAGTCACAAGTATTTTTTACAGTGATTGGTACAGTGGTTTATACAAATTATCCACTGCACATTAGCAAGGACTAAGGTTATTGATTGCAAACTCGTTGATTCTTTTCTACCAATTCACAATTACGAATATTAGATTTTCCACTGAAGTAACTGAAGTTTTCTTCACCGTAATCAAATGACCTATGATTTATTTCGGCATGTTCTCTCTCGTATCTCGAAAACGAAGACGCATCGATCTGGAACATTCTTTGTCCAGACTTTACTATAAATATATGGTGTATATAACATTTTCTGTTCAAAGTAGCCAGCCCCACCATGTATTCTTAACTGTCTCGAGATCTGGAACACCTTGTACAAGGAATATTCCACTTTCAAACGTTCCGTTCGTTTCGACACTCGGCCTCTTACGCTTCCAACCCCAAAGTATTGATCGTCCAAATCGACAGGAGGGTGTTCGACACTCTTGGACGGCAGTGTACATTCCTTCGTATATTCCTTCGCGATTCTCTTCTTTCTACTCTTTTGGTCCGCGTCTCGGAAACACGCGGTGTGTCTCTCCCTCGAAAAAACAATTACTTGTAACGTCGCGCGCGTCCTCCTTGGCCACCCTCCTCCCTCTTCCCCCCCCCCTCTTTGGCTGCGCCATGGCATTCGCTGATGATGAGAAAAGCGGCGAAAGGCGGTGAAAGGCGGAAAAGGGACGACGGGCGAAGGGGAATCGTTCCGTAAAGGGGTCGCATTAACTTACAAAAGAGTGTGTCTGGCTTTTCTCTTTCTCCGGAGTCGGAGACGATGAAAGACGAACTGAGGGAGTTCATAAGGGCGGGTGCATCGCGTGGATGGATTTTTCTCCCCCCTTCCCCTCCCCCT